CTACTACTACTACTACTGACTACTGACTACTACTACTACTACTACTACTACTACTACGACTAGTACTACTGTTATTGCCTGGTACTGCTACTGCTCTTCTAGTGCTACTGCTGCTGCTACTGCTGCTGCTGCTGCTACTGCTGCTGCTACTGCTGCTACTACTGCTACTACTGCTACGACTGGGACGACGACGGCTACGACCACGAGTACTAGTTCTACCACCAGTACTCTCCCTGTTTTTGTGGCACCGTCAACGTTACAGTCATCATCGTTGTTGTCGTAGTCAAGACGATGATGATGCTGCAGCTTCTGATGCTGCTGCTGCTGATTGTGATGATGATGATGATGATGATGATGATGAGGAAGGTCATTGCAGACATTCGTGATAGCATCAGCATCGTAGTTGCTTTTTGGAGTATACGGTTCAATCCGTCAGGCTTGCAGTATCAGGGAAGAGCCTTATCTCGAGGAGAGCGGTTCCTAAGCCAGACTCAGATATACTGTCTTGGCAGATTTCACGGTGGATATTCAGCTTACAACCAGTGTGTCAGTGGTTGTGTCCATGTGCATGCAGGCAGCCCTTGCAAAATGCGCACGTGCACGTGCACACATGCACAAATTTCACAGACAGCAGCATACTGAAACCCATGGCCCCTAAACCCTAAACCCTAAACCGTATGAAATGCCTTCTGCGTGGCCTGGCTCCAGTTTTTGGGGGAGTTTGGGGTTTTGGGGAGTTCGAGCCCTACCTGGCTCCTGTGTTTCTTCGATCAGGCTGGGACCCTGGATTCTTGAAGTAATCGGGGGGCTTGATTGGTTTAGGGTTTAGGGTTTAGGTTTTTAGGGTTTAGGGTTTAGGGTTTAGGGTTTAGGGTCTGATTCATTGTTAAGCGGGGCGTGGGTGGGACAGGTGGGACACGTAGTTCAAGTTGCGGCCTACTAGTACGAGGTTGTAGCTTCGGTCTGTGGTTTCCCTGATCTCGCTCTGTCCTTTACGGAGTTCGCATCGTAAACTTGGAGGTCTGCAGGGAATTGTTGAGGGTTGGGTATTATGAAGCCCGAGGTGTGACGAGTTCACTTCCAGACGACGCCGTCTTGGTGCCGCGATCGGCGCCACAGGCGCCAGCCAGGGCATTTGTGATAGTAGTGCATCATATAGTTGAAATGCTTTGATGGATCTTCTCATAATACATCAATAATAAGAGATATCGAATACCTGAGTTCAATCTTTGTCATCGCACGTTTGGCAGCTGTGATTCGAGAACAGGCGCCGCCTGGTTCCATATCTTTCAGAGCAAACCGAACGTGGAGAAGCTGGCTGAATGGCGTGGCTTCTGGCATGTGGGACTTTCCAAAAAAAGGGGGTACCTTATTTTAGGGTCCTTATACTCAGGATCCTACTATTTAGGGTACCATATTAGGGTCCCCTATTTTCGGAAACCTCCATGTGGTCTTAAGTTCGGATTGAACTGCCCTGTGCTGTGTATTAATCCTGTCGTTCACGTCCCTGGACATGGCCTGGCAATATGGCTGTCTAGCTGAGTGTAGCTTTGAACTGCTCTGTGGGATCGCCAGATTCAAGAACACCACAAGATGGACGTTGTCCAATGCCAGGGGCTCAGTTCGCAACTGGTTGCGACAATCGCCTCGTTTGTGAACCACCTAGCAGATATCCCTTTCTGCTCTCATAGTCTCGTTCAGGTTTTACCGGTTCTCTTCGTGCTGCTTGTCATCGCAGCGATTTGGCGCCTTGGCTGCGTGCAATGTCTGTTTACCGGATTCCTCTAGGGCGATCTCGAGTGTTGCGACCTTTTCAACTCGTGATTTGAAGGTCATCATATGTATGGCTCCACCTCCTGAGACTGCTCCAGTTGGGCATGAAAGAGGCCGGTCGCCTTTGCTACGGTTCTTGCTCATGTTGCTCTTTTCATTGCCCCTCCTCTGCCGAAGCTGCTAAGCCGCAGGTAGACAAAGAAATGAGGACGTCCGGCATGGCCGCAGTCTTGGCTTCTGACGGTTTGGGGTTTGGAGTTCCTCCCTGATCTCATTGGGGTTTCCGAAAATGGGGGACCCTAATATAATACCCCAAATAGACCCCAAAATGAGGTACCCCTCATTTTCGGAAACTCCCATTTCGTGCAGCCCGTGGGAAACAAAGCGTCCTGTCAGTGAGGTCCAGACTGTTGTCTCCCAGACCATAGTCGTGCTCATGATGATCTGTTTCTGGAGGGCTGCCCGGGCCTTACATCAGTACCTCGATGCTGGAAGCTCCTTTTTCACCTTCTGATTATCACCTCCTTTCTGTAGACACAGAGGTGATCACAGCGACTGCTAAAAAAGCCACGGGAGGTGGTTGACCTATGCCTTGTAAGGCACATCGACATATCGATGCTGCAGCCTATGTCTGATTCTCTGAACCCGGCAGCCCAATTCATTCTTCAACGAAAGTTCGGAGACGGATTCCTGTTTGTGTGAGCCTGAGGTCTTTACTGATCCCGGATCGGTGTCTGGATCTCGTGCTCGCAGCTTTCGAGTAGATGTGTGCTATGATCTGGATGCTTATGAGATTTGCCATGGCACTGTGGCCGGTTCGCAATGGAGCGTCAAAGCATGTGAGCGTTGTCTTAACGTATGGTCTCGGCCCTTGAAGACGGCTCACAATGTGCAGACGCATGTTGCAACAGATGTTGATGTTGGCATGCTGCCATTAGCCTTATGCTAGCTTCGTCTCCCGTGATGTTTTTGCCAGTCAGGTAAGCCACTTCTAAAGGCTTCGGGTGTTTACTTAGCACCAGGTACTACATTGACCAACACCACGGTACTACGGCGGAAGCAGTCCTTTAGCATTCTGCGCCATCCATTGACGAACATGTAGCAGAAAGCTAGACAAAACACAGGTAAACAAATACTTGAGGTTACTGAAATGTATGCGATTACTCATACAAGCAGAAACATTTATAAGCAACCACAGCAACAGACAAGCATGGAAATATACAAACATACGAATCCTTACAAACCTGTAAATATGCAGATTTAGATACAAGTGACTGGCTATGTCCATGTAGAAATACACGGATATATTAACATGTCGATGTATAACTCTATCAGTACATGTATATGTAAGTACATATGTCTTAACATTTAGGTATGAAGATGCAGATGTGTAGATACCAAGATACATACATATATCAGAAAAATGCAGCACATACATATATCAGAGTCAAAGGGTTTGTACGACTGAACAGGCACATACATACTGGCATGTATATGTGTATGCACGTTTTGGCTTGTGTGTATCACTATCTGTATCTAGAATCGTACACGTATGCGTATACGATATATGTGTATATCTGTGTATGTGTTTAGGTGTATATGTATACGTATATGATGCATGTACATGCAGATGGGTATGTACAAGCACATGTGCACCTGCGTGTAGCATGATGCACGTATATTATATATATATATATA